TGTGAGGAGGGTGGTATCTGTATAGGATTTAGCTGCTTAATGCTGTATGTGATGGTGCAAAGGAATCTATTGCATTTATTTATGACGATGATGACTGAGAGGTAAAATCATGAGCACCGATAGCTGGTGTGTGGCTGTACAGTAGCTGTTTATGATGGACTGTGTTTTAACCCCCTTAATTGTGTGAAATTCCCTAAACTGTGTCCTGTAGCATGGCATTCTAGCTCTGCTGGAACAGCTGATTTCTAGTGTAATGACCAGTGAGGAGGTGGCAAATAGGTTTTCCAAAGTCACTTGAGGGTCAACTAAGAGCTACTGAAGGTTTCTATTGGATTGTTCGGCAAGTGCATTTAACCCGCAGCCTTCTGCAGATACAGGACAGTATAAAATCATGTACCGTGGGCAAAGCTAAAGCATTCTGAACTGAAGTGACGTGCAAGATGATCATGCTCACAGGCAGTTCCCATGACTTATGTCAAAGCAGTATTTTACAGCTTGTTGCCCTCTGTGTAGTGGTGGTTACTTTTTCCTTACGCTGCTAGGACCAAAGAAGTTTAGTGTGGAGGAAGCAGCAGGTTATCGGCTGCAGCCAGTCAGGGCTGCAGAAAGCTTCGCTGGCATGCAAAGATGCCCTTTGTTCTCTGTACCAGCCTGGTAACTCAGGTGCAGCTTACACCAGCCTGTAACTTGCACACCTGTCTGCCCAGTTGTTTGTAAAATGTGTGGGCAAAGACAGCATTGTATGCATGTGAGTACAAGCAAACCAGAAGTCGACTGAACGTATATGGTGATGTTTTAGTCTCTTCAAATGTCATAATTGACCCTCTTCTCTCATAGTTGGGATTGGATTTGCTGAATTTCATACCACATAATACAACTTCTTCTGGGACATGCGACAATACGTCAGCCTTCTTGAATCTGACTTTTGAGAAAACAAGGGTTATCTTCCACTTCGCATTGGTAAGAATCTCTAGCCAAAGCGTGTAGGGTCTGCGGGCCCTCTCACATGGGAAAACTAATTGGGGCAAGTACAAGAGAGAAAAGATGCAACCACAGGAAGGGGAGTAAGTAATTCCTTTGTCTTTAATACTAGATTTAGAGGGTTCAATGCTTGGTAACTGTTGTGAGGAAAGAATAGATACATGTACGTACACACACGTATGTATAGATAGACATCTATTGTTTGGAATGGGAATTTCTTTTAAGATTATATCGCCTACTCTGTAAAGCTTCTTGCCCAAACTGGGAACAGTTCTGCTGTAGCAGAGGAATAGCCTGTGACAAACAGGCATCTCATCTAATCGTACAAGTCTGGAACTGGATTTAAGTCCTCATTAATATTCTGTGTACAGCCCAAGAGCTGTGTGTGCTTGTCTTATGGACTCCTGCGACGGTTGGAAATCCTGTTTCCCACGGCTCTGCCCCAGTACTGTATTAGAGCTGTGTACCCTTGAGGACTGAATCCACTGTGTGTGTCAGCTTCATGCCACTTGTGATACTCGCGGGACTGATCGAATGTGATCACCTAGACCTGTTGCTATTGAATGACTCCACATCTCTGTGGGGTGCTGAGCTGCTTTAAAGCTGTGTCTGTAGCACAGGTGAGATCATTATACTAGCCTGGTTAAGGCACGGGTGGGACTATACTTTTAGTGTGGAGGTCAAGTCAGCATTCTGAGGGGTGACGGTCCCCCTTTCTCTGCCCCCCTTCCCTCCCCCAAAGTAATCTTCCCTAAGGTGCATACCTTCTATAGCTTTTCTCTCTAAAAGTGAAACTAAGCTCTTCCTTTGGATGCTAATCCCAATTGCAGACTACCCTTTGAAAACCTTTCTCAAAACGCATGCAGAATTGAACCCAAATCGTAACAGCTTATGTTGTACATCATTAGCTGAAATGACAACTACTGGTTTGTTTTTTTAAAAGAATGCAAGTACTGAAAAATTCTTCCTGCGAGGTGTGAATGTAAGCACGACTCTGCCTTCTGAAGCAAAAGGTAGGGACTTCTCAGAAGTCTACTTTCAGTGACTACTTCTATAAATATTAAGGGTTGCCTGCATTAAATAACCTGTTAGAAACATTGGGGATGAATGTACTGAATTTAAGCTCTATGAGCTTACAGCTCCTGCTCTTCAGGATTCTGTAATAAGACTTGCTCTTACACAGTTCCGAAGTTTGAAGCATCGAACAACAGCATGAGTGAGCTGAGAGCCACAGTAGGGAACTCCTACAAGTGCACTGCAGAGGAGAATCTCCAGGTCACGGACAAAGCCCTTGTCAATGTATTTGATGTTCAGATCCAGGTTTTCAAGATTGATGGAGACAAATTTGGGGCAGGTAAGAGGTTTACATTGAGGGGGAGGGGGAACCTAAGATTTGTGAAGTGCACTTTGATATAAACATATAATATTCTGTAGTCAAGTGTCAGCTTGCGAGTGCTGTGCTTTTGTCTCTGCGTGCCCTATTACAGATGTTGTAGGGGCTGATAAGATGTCTGAGTGGAGGCTAGTGCAAGAAGTAGGTAAAAAGCTTTGAAATAACTAGGACTTGTTCCTTGTGGTCCGGAGAAGAGTTAAGAAAGAGCATTAACTTTCCCTCCTAACTGTGTGCAGAGAGTTGTATGAAATGGGGAAAGTTCTGGGAAGTTGCTGACTCTCTTAATTAATGCTGTCCTTTGTGACTGTGGTTAAAGGAAAACAGCTAGGGGAGGAGTCACGTGCATGTATTTATGATGGCTAAGCTTTGTGTAACAGTAACAGCTCTCGAGAAGGAAACAATTGTTATTAATATCTATATTGTGCATACAACTAGCGCTAGGAGGACTTCATCCTGAATGATCATAGTTAGTGGAGTTGGCTTCCTTTTGGTTGTTGGCAAGCTAAGCTAGAAGTTAACCTGAGCCAGTTTTATCTATGTGCTGGGAGTAGAAACTTGAAGTTCTGCATATAGCCATCTGTTGGTGCACTAGTGCCTAACGTGGATCTCTTTCTCTCTCTTCAGTGGAAGAATGTCAACTGGATGAAAATAACATGCTGATCCCTATAATAGTTGGTGCAGCCCTTGCTGGTCTTGTTCTAATTGTCTTGATTGCTTACTTGATTGGCAGAAAGAGGAGCCATGCTGGATATCAAACAATTTAATAACTTGCACTGAAATCCAGTGTAGATGAAAAGCAGTTGCAAGAAGCTGGGAAACCCCCGCCACACACACATTTCCCCTGAGCTAAGATTGATATTGTAAGGGAACACCTTTTCTTGCAAATTGCTTCTTCTTTAAAGTCTGCTTTATTAAATGTGAAATCATCTTGCAGCATTTAACTATGCACAAAAATAACTTCTGAAAATTCTGGTGTTTAATTTTGCTAACTAGTTTAAATATTTACCCACTTAGAAACAAGCTAAAAGTTTTTAAGGGTGCTTTTTTGGAATTGGCATAAGGTAACGTCAGCTAAAGATTCCAGAGAGGGATGTTGCTAATTCACACTGACTCAATTTCAGAACTCTTAACAAAGGGAAAAGGTTCATTCTTCGTACTGCTGCCATTCGGCGACGATGTTAATTATACTGATGATGCATTTAAAGAAATTTAGTAACAACTGACAAAATTGAAATTTAAAATCTAAACTCCACCTTGTCTTCTAGGTGTGTATTTTTTACTAAGCTTTAAACTCAATGCCTGGCATATGCAGGGTGTGAACAACGCAATACTCAGACCTTACAGGAACTCTTTATGATTGGACAGCTCCCCTGTTTGATATTTTTGATGCTCTGCCAGCTTGTTAGGAGCTGGTCCTTTTTTAAAATGGGTGTTATTTTTATTTACCTTTTTTTGTAAAGTGATTTCAGTCTCTTCTGTTGGAAGGTCCAGAGAGATCCTGTTACTGCACATGTGTACAATATAGATCTCAATCTGCTGATTCTCTTGCTTTAAACTTGGCTGGGGGGTTGTACACTTTAAGGATCAGTTCTTATGTATGCATTGCCTGTAACAATGCTAATAAAGACACTTTTTTTCTGTATATCTTAGTGTTGCTGATCACTCTTAAACGTTTGACCGTTTGGTAAGTGCTAAAGTCTTGGTTTGGCTCTACTTTGAGAGCTTTAAACAATCCTTAGTGTGGAGTTATGTTAAATGTTTGTTTTTTATCTGTGTAGCACAAAGATGAGGCTTAACTGTGTGTGTGGCTTCAGAACAGTCCCTCCTTTTGGACTTTGTGCTTGGAAACAGGTAAAGCTTCTGCGTATCAGTAACCTGAGATCTGGAGAAGATAACTCTTACATTAAATTGCTGCTTGCTGAGAAATGTCAGTATATTGGTCTGCCCTGCTAAGCATCGCTTTCTAAAAGTGCTGTTAAGATACTTTGTACAAGGACTGTAAACGACATTTTATGTTTTATTTTGAAGTTGGATTCTTGCCACTGAGTAGGAGATGCTTGTCTGCTGAGGTCTGTGTGTTGCAATGTACTTGGAAATGAACCTTTGTGTTTAAAGCTTCCCTGACTCCCTCCTGCAGTAATGTTTTGGTGTTAACAGTACTAGCTACACGGGGCAGGAACCAAGGCACACTGAAACGTTGCACAGAACACTATTCTTCTGACAAGGAGAACTGAACGCATGGCATAAGGCTGGTACACTTTGGACCATATCCCCTGCTAGCTTGAAAGTGCCTGGAAACTGTGGATTTTGCCAGTGGTGAATAGACTAGTATTTCCTAATACCTGCTGATGTACTAAAGTATGGTACTGCTACTGTCCTTACAACTCAGTACTGCCTGTCTGGTACTGTAAAGGATGGGATAGCTTGGAATGATACTGCTAAGTAGCTGTCTTTACTTGTCTAGAAAAGCACCCACCTACTTCCTCTGAAACTTTTTTTT